CAATGAATGGGTACTTTGCATTCAATTTGCTCACCGGCCAGTTTGTAAATGTCTTATATGTGCATGATAAGCATGAACTGAAGAAGCAATATTTTATAGAAAGTTGTGCAGTGGGGTGTTGCCCGACGTCAGGCCAATTCAAGTTTCTCATGCTTGTTTGGGACATGAGGAATGGGGTCCGAGTAGCTAAAGTACAGACTTTGGGTAATGGTGAATGGAGGAGTGTGGACAATGTACCCTTGAATAAGCTAGCGGGTGGATGCTTTCTAAATGGGTCTGGTCACTGGTATGGTGGGGCGTCCATATGGTCCTTTCATTATGGAAAAGAGAAGTTTTTGCGAATCCCACTACCTGATGATATCATCATCATCAATGCAACTTATAGGAAAAGGGTGAAAAACTTGGCTGTTTTAGACTCTTGCCTTTGCGTGATATGCTTCTCCTTTTTTAACCCGAGGGGTAGTGTTGCGATGGACTTATGGATTACGAAGGAGTATGGGGTTAAAGAATCTTGGGTGAGACAAATTGTCACGGTGAATAATGAATGGTGTCTGCCTCTAATGCGCACGGATAAGGGAAAAATACTCATAATGAGAGAGAATGAATTATATCTATGTGATCCACGAACCGAGGTTATTGAAAGAGTCAAGTTTGAGATCAATGGGCATTCTAAGTACACGGAGCAATTTGCGATATGTGATGCAACTTTCTTTAGGCTTTGAAGATTCAGGTTATACTTTCTGCTCATGTCTCAATGAAAACTTATGTTTCAAGTTGGTTGTTTTTTTTTAGAGTAAATTCCATAAAAGGTCTCCAGTTATTGGTCGTTTTACATATTTAGTCCCTACTTATCAAATATTACTAATTTAGTCCCCAATTATTATATTCATTTTCACGAATGGTCCTTTGTTAGCATTTAAGTTAAGAATGTGGATAAAATTGTAAATTCACACTCTTTTTAGTCCTCAATTAAGCTTCCTTTCTTCCCTCGCACTCATTTCCCAAATCTGTCGCTGAGTTTGAAGCTTTGAACCCAAAACCGAAATCATCACTTTTCTCCCAATTGTTTGTCTAACTAGTGGAATCCAAATTCGAAACCAGTAACCTTCATGAATGAGTTTTAATGTTTATTTTTTTACAATTTCTTGAGCCTAACTGATAAAATTTATCCATAAAGCTTATTGATTTTGATTTTAGGTTCTACCAGGAAGACTAATAATTGAGAGAAAAATGATCATTTCAGTTTTGGGTTTAGAGCTTCAATCTCAGCGACGAGTTTGGGAAAGAGTACGAGAGGAGGGAGGAAGCTGAATTGAGGAGAAAGAAAAGTATGAATATACAATTTTATCCATGTTCTTAACAAAAACGTTAACAAAGGACCATTCGTAAAAAATGATATAATAATTAGGGACTAAATTAGTAATATTTGATATGTAGGGACCATAGTTTGTAAGGCGGCAAGGCGAGGCGCCAATGCACCTTCATATCGCCTAGGCGACGACTCGGCGACATACATACCTACATGTATATATATGTGTGTGTGTATATATATATTTATATTTATATATGCATATATAGGTTTTATATATTTTAAGGAAGCTTGACAGAGAAGACCGAGAGAGAAGATAAGTTTAAGTCTATTAGGCTACACTAAAAGAAAATGGTCTGCACTAAAAAATGGGGTTTTTCAAAATTTTAAAGTGGCCCAAGGCATCAAGGTGAGGTAAGGCGACTTCAGGCGAGGAAAGGCGACGCCTAGGCGAGCGCCAGGTCGCCTTATGGTTTTCTAGGTGAGGCGAGTAGACAAGGCGTCCCGGTGATAGCGCCTTATCGCCTAGGCGACGCCTTACAAACTATGGTAGGGACTAACTATGTAAAACAACCTATAAGTGAGGACCTTTTTATGGAATTTACTCTTTTTTTAATGTATAAGAGCCCGTTAGGAACTTTTGGTTAATTGCTCTCATTTTAGCTAAAAAAAGAAAAGGACACACTTTTGTGACTCAAATTGTTGTGTTTGAAACATTTCGCGACAAACACTTTTAACATTATGGGTATGTTTGGTCGGGTGAGGGAAGGAAAACCTTGCCCCTCCCCCCCATTGAAGATTTGTTTTGAACCAAACAGATTGACTGTAAAAAATCATTTTTCCTCCACTCCAACCAAACACGGACAATTTAATTTCAGCATTAGTTTTAGTTTAATTTTAGTGTTGATGGACAATTTAGTTAGTGTTCACAAAAAGAGACACACCTGGGACTATATGATGTGTGAGTTTTGTAGTTTTTTTTGTCTCAACTGTTACTTTTTTTCTAAAATTAAGGTTGAACATTTGGGGAAGGAACATATCAGTACCCTAAAATGCAAAAATGACACCTTTCTTGAATATGTTCTTATCCATAGTTTTTTGGCACTGGGTTTTGTCTGGTAAAACCAAAAATGTAAGGTAATATAATGCAGTGAGTACATTGTTTTATGTTTTACTGGCTGTGAAAATGACACCTTTCATTGTTTTTCTTTTGCAATTTGCACGGACTTGGCTAAGCTCACATTGTCCAATAGCTTCTTGATCGGTTTTTTTTTTCCGTGTGTGTGTTTCATTTTTTGTATTGAAGGTGGCGTTTTTTTTGCTGGAGAAGAAAATCACATCTGATCTGGTTCATCTCTAAACAACACCAGATGATCTTTTGTTCTTTTGTAATCTTTGATCTTTTGTTCTTTTTTGTGACTGCAAAGTTGACCTCTTTTTGAAACTTCGTTAGCTCCATAGTCTTTGGTCCATATCAATAGTTCCACAGTTTAATGTCTTCTACGTACACACACCCTCACGAGACTCCGCTTTTGTGAGATTATACTAGGTTGTTGTTCTTCATTTTGCTGCTGGGAATTTGTGTGGAATTAGCTGATTACAGAACATTGTCAACAATCTTCTTAACCTTTGATTGCCTTTCTTTCCTTTTTGTTTTTGTATACTAAGGTGCCTTCATGAAGGCAGTTCTTCCTCTGAAGCAGAAAATCACATCATCTGGTTCCTCCCTAAATAACAGTAGAATTTGTTTCTGTCCATATGACCAAAAGACGTAAAACGTAACTCAAGCTTTTGTTCTTTTTGTGACTGCATAGGTTAGATCCTTTAGCTTTCCTCAAATCATGTTTTGGGTTTTTCCTACTCTATAACTTTTCATGTTTTGCAATACTCTGTATAATGTTAGAAGTTGAATACTCAGTTTCCATATTTTACAATACTTTATCCATCTCAAGTTAATCTTTCTATTTGATCTATTGATATGAACACTCGTAATTAATGACTATTATGATTCTATAACACTCCTATTTTGGAAATATGTGCTACGTTTTAGTCGGGTGATTTCTTTAATTTATGTATTCATACTATAAGACTATTATCGATTTTCGGTTGATTTCAGAATTTTCACATTACATACATCCTTTATATTTTTTGGGCTAATTTTTAAGCTAATGCTCAACTTGTGGCATACATTTTTTTTTAAATAATTTTGTGTCCACCTAAAAGAATAGACAAACACTAGCAAGATCTTCAAATCATTGGTATTTCTGGCAACCAAAGTATGAGGTTTGAATTTGTGGTGTAGAAAGATTTGAGAACATGAAAATACTTGCAATTCTTGTATGATAATCATGGAGCTTAGGTCTATAAGAGCATCACTAATGTGAAGAAAACAAATGGATAACATGGTGATTTGAGAGGAGAAATGAGAGAAAATTGATTCCATTGATGGGAGGAATATAATAGAGAAACACTTTTATTAGTCCATTACAATTATATATACATACATACATACATACACACACACACACACACACAGATACTTTTTTCTAAATCAATAGAAGATAACATGTCAAAAGAGGTATCGAGAAAAAGTTCTGTGCAAAAAATAAAGGAAAAAATAACGTAACATTAAAAGTAGATGATGTGTGAGCCCAACTCACTCTTTAATCATTGGGCTTTTACAAAACAAAAAATACTCCCATATACTCTTAATTTTCTGGTAATGACTCTTAGGTCTCACGTTACTTGCTCTGGACAATCCTCAAATTTTTGGTAAGAACTCTTAGGGCCCACATTATGCAAAATATACTTCGGGGTCCTTAAAATTTGTGATATTATACTTCGAGGATACATTCTGTTCATTTAGGCATTATGATTGAAAGTTCTTTAACTTTGTGAAACTGAAGGGTATTCAAATTTAATAAAATAATGATTATGAAGCTAAAATCTAGTATTCGTCAAAGTAACAAAATTTTAAATCTTAACGGTCAAATAGACAAAATATACCTAAAGAGTATATTACCATTCATTTTAATATTTCAAATAATGTAGGATCTGAGAGTTTTTACCAGAAAATTGAGGGTAACTAGCAGTATGTTTTAGATAATGTGGGAGGTGGGAGTCATTACCAATAAAAAATTGAGGGTATCCGGAGTAATTTTCTGTTTTACAAAAGGTTTCAAATACTAATTAAGAACTCGGCGGTTAAATTCTTATATTGCTCGCATTTATTTATTAATTTTAAAAACAAAAAAAGAATGTTAGAAGGCTCATAACCGTCGGCTGACAATTCTTTGAAAAATTAATACCACAGGAACAAAGCAAAAATGCCCTTCGTCTCGTCTATCTGGCGCGCTGCCCCTCTCCATCTCCAATCTAAAATGGGCAAGGTTCCCATCACATTCGGAACCAATGTCATGGGATGACCCGAGGGCGCTCCGGTGCCCCGTTCGTAAAATTGACGGTTCCTACCCCCTAACCCCCTGGTAAACCCCCCACCCCGCCCCGACCCGAACGCACCCCACCCTCTTCAATTGCACCCCTCCCATAAGTTTATTTTGACTTTTGCAATGTGATCTAAAATTTCCGTTTCTTTTTAACCTGCTGTACCCAACTTTGGGCACAGCCGCGGGTGTATCATATAATTCGCGTTCGGCTGCCGGGATTGAACAGTGGCGCTCTTGGTTGTTCGATCTTTGAGGTTCTCTTCTAGTCTCTTAATTTCAATCGTTTTGATCTTTTTCGATTTCTTTTCTGAGTAGTTCCGATTTCTATTTTGAAACTAGTTTGAATTGGAATTGAACAGACGCAATTTCAAATTTCCAATCTTGTCAAACATGATTGGATTGGGATTTTTCAAATAATCCCCTGAAACCCTGTTTTCAATTCTACCTTCGAGTTATATATAGAGGATTTCTTTCAAGGTTCAGTTCTTTTCATCATCTTCTTCACCTAGGCAGTTTATTATGAATAATTTTGATCTTTCAATTTCCCATGCGAGTAACCCTCTTGTGCCTGACTAACAGATGAAGAAAGTCAAACAGTACCAACCTTTTTCTGAAATCCCTTCTGTCATCTTATGGGAAATTCTGGGCCGAGTTCCGATTAAGACGTGTTTAGCTTGTAAGCTTGTTTGCAAAGAATGGTATCATATTGTTGTCAGCCCAGAATTCCCTTCTTTCCGCCGCCACTGTAATGCGTCCCGATTCACCTTGTTGTTTACTAATGCCTGGGTTGGTAGTGTGGGGATTGTTTTCCACCTTGTTGAGCTTGAAAAGACCTTGAATGCCGATGATTCGGGCAATTTTATTGGGGGTGTTGACAGTATCATTGAAGTTCACCCAAAAATCGACACACCCAGCAAATTTTTTTATGTCATGTGTGAGTACAATGGAGTTGTTTGTTTGGAAAGTGGAGAGGATGAATACTTCGTATGCAATTTGCTCAGTGGCCAGTGTGTGAATGTCCAGAATCTGCATGAATTGAAGAAGCGTTCTCACACTATATTGGGTTGTGAATTGGGGTGTTGCCCGGTGACAGGCCAATTCAAGGTTCTCATGTTTGTTTGGGACATGACGAATAACATCCATGTGGCAAAGATACAGGATTTGGGTGATGTTGAATGGAGGAGTGTGGGCAGTGCACCATTGAGGAACCCGAAAGGTGGATGTTTTCTAAATGGATCTAGTCATTGGTGTGGTCGCGCCTACATATGGTCCTTTCATTTTGGGAAGGAAAAGTTTTTACGAATCCCGGTACATGATGACATCATTAGTGCATCATATAAGAAGAGGAATAAAGTATTATTTGTTTTAGACTCTTGCCTGTGTTTGGGATGTGGCTCCCGCGGGAATGGTGGACATACCATGGCCGTATGGATAATGAAGGAGTATGGTGTGAAAGATTCTTGGGTAATGCAATTTGTCATAGTCTCTAATGAATGGACTGTGCCTCATTTGCGGATGGACAAGGGAAAGATACTTGTGCAGAGTGGACTAAAATTATATTTATATGATCTGCAAACCCAAGTTTCTACGATAGTGAAATTTGAGATCAATGGGCTTTCTAATTGCTCGATTCCGTTTGCGACATTTGATCCAAGTTTCTTTAGGTTTTAAAAATTCAGGTATTCTTCTCATCTGTAAATGAACACTTATGTCACAAGCTGGCTGTAATTCTTTATAGTTTAAGATCCTGCTTGGGATCACTTTTGATAAACCTGCTTTCTCATTTTAGCAACAACAACAACAACAAAGCCTTATCCCACTAGGCGGGGTCGGCTACATGGATCAAACGACGCTATGAAATCCTATAGTGTATCATATTGAGATTGTTCACGCGAAAGTCTCCCTTGATCAATGCTCTCCAAGTCCTCTTAGGGCTACCTCTTCCTCCGGCCACATGCCTATTCACCATTTGATCAACCCTTCTCACAGGATGCTCTATTGGTCTTCTCTCACATGTCCAAACCACCTAAGAAAAAAATTTTAAAAATAAAAATATTGCTCTGCACCTTTTTTTGAATAGAAAATATTGCTTTCTTATCTCTTTACGAAATCTGTATCTTTGCCAGCTTGATCTTATCTGCCTTGTCTTCAAGAAACATAAACCTTGCATTAGTGATCGATCAAAGTCATCAAACACATAAGTGACTATGTGGTTATTGTTTGCGGTGGAGTATAACTGAATTCCTTGGTTCTTGCCCTTAATACAAATGTGATGCTATCTTTCAACATCACCCCCAACCCCCTCCACCCGTAATTTGAGTCAAATTGTTTTGTTAATGGATTATTGTTGAGTTTGTAATGTTTTGTTGCGAAGACTTTTACATTAGGGGTATGTTTCGTTGGAGGGGGGGTGTGGGGAGGAAAATTTGGGCCCCCCATTCAAGAAATGTTTTGTAACAAACGGGTGGACCCTGTATGAACTCATTTTCCCTCTCCTCCACTCCAGCCAAAAACTCCCTACAAGTTGGTGTACCTTATTTTGTTTTAGCTTTAGTTTTAGTTTATACATTACGCAGTTTTAATTTTAGTTTTAGTTCCCCCGTCTCCCATTCAGTTTTAGTGTATATATTACGGAGTACCTTACTTATAGTTTAGTTTCAGTGTTGACTGTTGATGGACACTATTGTTATTGTGCACGAAAAGAGACACAGTTGGGACTATATGATGTTGTCCATAAGCTTCATAGTTTTTTTTTCTGAACCAATTTTTTCCTTTTCTAAAATAAAGGCCATACATTCGCGGAAGGAACATGTCAGTATCTTAAAATAAAAAAAGACACCTTTCTTGAACATTTTTATATCGATAGTTTCACAAAGTTTGACACACACCCTCTCGAGACCCTGTTTTTGTACATGGGATTATACTAGGCTGTTGTTGTTTCTATCTGTGCCTAACTGGGAATTTGTATGGAATTACGTGATTACAGAACTTTGTCAACAACCTTCTAACCTTTGATCATCTTTCTTTCCTTTTTTGCATACTTAGTTTCGCTGAAGCAGAAAAATCACATCATCTGGTTCCTTTCTAAACAACAGTAGAGTTTTCTTTTTTGTCAGTGGGTTTTCTGGTCTCATAGTGGGGATTTTGGCGTTTGATGCAAGTTTTTCGAGGTTTTAAAGATTCAGGTATTCTTGTCATCTCTAAATTTACACTTACTTTACAAGTTGGTTGGCTTTTTAAGTTTAAGTGCATGTTTGGAGCCTTGCGTAAGTGACTGATCAAACATACAAGTGACTATGTGGTTATTGTTTGCACTTACGTATAGCACAACTTCCTAGTACTTGGCCTTAATACAAATGTGAAAGGAGCAATGGAACAACTATTTTTCTCCCAACAATTTGAATGAAATTGTTTTGCTAATGGATTATTGTTGTGTTTGAAATGTTTCGAGACCAACACTTTTACATAAAGGGTTTGCGTGGTTTGGGGAGAGAAGGAAAATTGTGTGCGCCCCATTGAAGAAATGTTTTGAATTGAATGGGTGGACTGGGTACAAAACTAGGTTCCCTCCTCTCCACCCAAACCAAAAACATGCCATTTAGTTTATACATTAGCTTAATTTCAGTGTTGATGGACAATATTGTTTTTGTGCAGAAAAAGAGACAACTGAGACTATATGATGTGAGTTTCATAGTTTTGGGTTTCAATCAATTTTTTTTCTAAAATAAAGGTCAAACATTTACACTCAGTTTGGTTCATGGATTTTGGTTGGGAAAAGAAAACAAAATGGGATGAAAAACTATATTTTATGTTTGGTTAGTGAGGAATAGAAAAAAGAGGGGAAGTAAAAAGAAGAGGCAATTTTTTGCCAGTTTCAGGATCTGACTGAAGATATGCCCTTAGACAAGAACGCCTTGAGATCTATATAGGGAGAAAGACCAAAGTTGGACTAAAACATTGAAAATATATCAAAATAGGACTTCCATGTTTTTATTCCCGAAATAGAGACTTACATTACCAAACATGGTCATGTACATTACCAAAAAAGTATAGTAATGTGCACATGTACAGTGCTATATTACCACAGTGCAAAGTCCTATTTTGGGAAAAAAAACATGAAAGTCCTATTTTGGTACTTTTTTCTATTTTTAGTCCTATTTAGGGTGATTTGTAATCTATATATAGTAGTGGCTTCTTTGTCCGTAGTTCTTTTGTTGATCCTAGAGTAAGGTCTGTGTACAAACACCCTTTTGAGACACTAATTTTTGTGAGATTCTACTAGGCATGTTGTTCTTATTGGTGTTTCTTTATGCACCAAAGTGGGAATTTGTGTGGAGTTAGCCAAGCTCTTATTAATCTCTGATTTAAATTTTTTTTCCTTCTTTGTATTCAAGGTGGCTACATGAAGATAGTTCAACTGGAGCAGAAAGTTGCATTTGGTCCATCTCTAAACAACAACAGAATTTTGTTTTTCTATGACTTGGTTGCCAAAACAGATCAAATCTAAATCATGTTTAACCTTCAGCAGACACTGTGGTCTCAGAACTCATATCTTTTGCGCTCATCAAAGTGGCTGTAAGTAAATATGATAAAAATAACACACATTTTAGGCGACTTGATTCTGCAACGTACAAGTTACCGTTTTAGTTGTCTACTCCGTATCATATATTTCACATTTTTATTAACAATATGCAAATAATAAAATGAATTGATGTATAAAATTTACTATGGAATATATCATTAAATTTGTATAAAAAATAATTTTCATTAATCATTTTAAATAGTTTTTGTTGATAAATAGTACTCCGTACTCTGTAAAGAATGAGGCAATGAAAATTAAAATCAACTTTTTGCATCATGAATCATGTATTGAATTATATGAGTATTAGATCGGAATAAATTCCTCTGGCCGATCCGTTGCAAATTATTCATTGTCATTTTTTCCATTCTTCTATGATTTCAATCTCCTCCCAAAAAGAGTGAGGAGATCTATTATTAGAAATCACCCTAAATAGGACTAAAATATAGAGAAAAATATCAAAATAAGACTTGCATATGTTTCTTTTCGGAATATGATTTCGCACTGTGGTAATGTGGCACTGTACATGTGCATATTACTATATTTTTTTGCTAATGTACATGACCATATTTGGTAATGCAAATGCATTTTAACTATTATTTTGAGTTAAAAATATGAAAGTCTTATTTTGGTATATTTTCAATTTTTAGTCCTACTTTTGTTTTCCCCCATCTATTATTAGTTATGAGCACTTCCTTTATGATAAGGCGCAATGACGTCGTTTGATCAATGCAGCCAACATCACATCATGGGATTCATTGGATTTGTTGTTTTTTGTTGTTGTATACCGCTTGCGTTGTATACCCTTCGCCTTAATTTAAATTGCATGTTTACCATCCATAAAGCAAAATTTTAACCATGTTCTTTATTCATTTTTGTTACTCAGTTAAGAAAATAATATAATGTTGTAACATCTTAGTTTGTAGAATTTTATATGTAATTTTCAAATATATAAATTTATTTTTTATTCATGTACTAATTTTTAAATAAATTGAATTGAAAATAACTTCAATCATACATCGTAAACAACAACAGGAAGTTTAAATTGGGACGGAGGGAGTAATATTTTTTTCTTATTAGAATTAGATCAAATTAGATTCATTCAAATCGGGAAAGTATCAAAAAGTAAATAATAAAAAGTAAATAATAATAATAATAATAATAATAATAATAATAATAATAATAATAATAATAATAATAATAAGTGTACTCTCTCTTTCCCATAAAGAATTGCTAACTTTGACTTCGCAGAGATTAAAAAGTGCTTAAATGAAAATATTAAATATCACTAAAATGTTTTTCATATTTCCATCATCTTCGATGGAACCAAAAATACACTATTTTTTTTGCTTTGGGGTGTCATGAAATAAAGCAAAATGAATCTCTAAGTTCTTTGCACTTCTTTAATTAATGTAGTAGTTAGTCAATCAATGCCACTTTTGACGCTGAGCTAGATGTCTGTTTGGACACAACCTCTCTATTTTCGAGTAAAGATAAGGTCTGTGTATACACACTCTCCCATGATCCCACTCATGTAGGATTCAACTGGGTTATTGTAAAATGTTTTCCACTTGCTAATTATTTTCTTCTTCCACATCTTCAATATATTATTCATTTGATTATTTTATTACTTTTTGTTTCATAAAGCAATATAGTACTCCCTTTAAAACTTATTTGGCGTATTATATGTTGAATTAATTAATTAATAATAAAAAAGCATCAATACACATGTGGTTTGATAAATGTGCATCGTTATATGCCTTCAACAAAAATTACCTCAATCCCCATTTTTGTATTTCTACGCCAATATCCCTCTAGACTAAATATAATACCCTTTATATGACACGGTCAATAGCTATGTTGCCCCTTGTAGTTTTGGAAAAGAGTTCAAATGCTCCCTTACATACGTTTTTTTGTTTCTTTTTTTCTTCTCTTTTATTTTATAAATATTTTAAGTTCTTTTTTATTTTATTTTAATTTTAATTTTATTTTCCTTGTTTTCTTTTTTGCGCTAAAGCACGTTTTTCATTTTTTGTTCATTTTCTGGTTTCTTTTTTGTTTCTCTTTTTTTCTCATTGTTCTTTTCATACTCTGTATATGTTTTTAAATTTATTTTTTTAAATTTATAAGATTTTTCTTATTTTAGTCAAAATTAAAACAAAATAGTAAAAAATAAAAAAAGAGAAAAGAAATGAAAAAAACATTTAAAGAAAAGAGAAAATGAAGTCATGAAAGAAATTTATTGGATATCTGTCAAAAAATATTTTACTCAATACTATTTCGGCCCAACATGTTAAAAAAAAACTAAAAATCATTTTGAACAAGAAATGAAAATATTTAACTTCAGACAAATGAAAAAGTTTCCTTCAAAAAAAGTATGTGTTAGTTTTTTTATTTCAAATAAAAGTAATTTTTATTTTCTAAAACTTTATAAAAATAGTTTTAAACAAATTACTTAACAACATTTGAAAAAAAAGAAAAGAAAAAAAGAGAAACAATAAAGAAGAAAAAAAGGACTGTTGGTGTCCATTTTCAAAACCACAACGTCATAGCTGTTCACCTAAGATTTGAATGGTATTTTATTCTAGAAACTATTGTTGTAGGAATATTAGAATTGCGAGAGGAACAATGCAAGTTTTGAAAACATGAGAGTAACATTGCACATTTTACCAAACCACATACGATATTAGTGGAGTAAACTCTATGAATAATTTAAAATAAGAGTAATAATGCTAGGAGATAATAAAGTTATTTCAATTCATATTAATTATTTGTGATAACTAAATATCCATTCGAAAACAACAATCGCTCTATGTTTTAAATATAAGGGTCAGGTTATGTATGAGATTAGTAGTGGTGTTAAAAATAACCATTTTTTAAAA